CTGAATTTTGCTGACCAATTAGTTGGCAAAACAAGTTTAGAAACTTATATTCAAATGGCTATCTGGAATGCTATATAGGGTTTCCGATGGAATTTATTTATTTATTTAATTAGCCGAGGAGCCAGTTCTTTAACTGTGTTTAGTTCTAAACCTCAACAGTTCTAATTACTATATCATTGTGAATGCACCCTCATTCTCGATGTTCCTCTTTTGGCTGGAGATTAGCCGAAAGATAGCATAACAAATGAAAATTCTACGATTTTTTGACTATGTCTCTTTTCCCATCATCTTTGTTACCTTACATCCTTGCCTAGACACTGAAGGTGAGAAAATACATGAAAAATAATCGCAATATACTACTTGCCGATGCCGTAGCAGACCAGGTCCATAGTGCTGAGGCACCTACGGAACTTGGTCATCATCAGCGCTTTCTCCGTGATGCCCAATTGCTTCCTCGCTCCCGCACCAACTCTCAACGTCCTCAGGTAGTCTGTTAGCCCGGATCTAATGGACCAGCAACAGGAGGCGATAGGCGTCTTTGACGGCTTGTCATTTGCCGGAACGACATGTTTGGGCTGAGCGGTGGATCTGAGGTCTTCAGAAGACACTTGAGGCGCTGAAGGCATTTCCACGTCACCGGCTGAGTATCCAGATCGCGGATTCTATTTGTATGTGGCGGAGATATTGGATTTCTGGCTTAAGGAGACCGGGCACAGTCAGCTGGTAGCTATACTGCCGAATAGGCAGTAATCTGCAACAGGAGAACTGCTAGAGCGTAGCTTTTATAAGCTAGTTGCACGCACCGTACAAAATCGGCTTATATCAGATGATCTGACCTCTTCGCATTCTCGTCAGTTTATCACAGTCCTCCAGCTCCCTCCTTCCCCGATCACCAAGGATTAGCCAGAGGTCGTTGTCTGGTCGTCTGTTCGAGTGGCTGAAATACATTTTATCGTGTAGCTTGTACCGTGGGCTGTCAGGATTCTGGCGACAAGACGACAGACAACACAATTTCTGGTCTGATCCATTAGCATGTAGAACATGCTGGCACAATCCTTATTCACGCCATAATGGCTCGTGTTTGTGTGTGTGTGTGTGTTCAAGTTAAGCCTTTTGCAACTACTTGCAAACGGCAAAACGCCTAACGCGTCTGCTATCGCAACCAAGTTGGTCCAGAGCAATACGATCATACAATCGGCATTTGGCTGCCTTAGCGTGAAAAGCGTAATGATGAAGAAGGTTATTTGCAACTTGATCCTGTTCTCAGAGCAACCCTGATGAAGGCATCATGTCCGGATGTTGGAGTAACTTTCATTTCGTTTGAAGAGGCGAATGCAAGGGATTCGTTAGTTGGCCTCACTAGAAAGTGAAGGAGGAGTTGTGACTGTAGAATTGTACAAATTAGTTCTAGGCTCATCATCCCGCGACTCCGATGAATCCTTGTTGGGCTTTTGTCCGTCATGTGATGGACATCAGCAAAGCAGGACACCATGCTTTATAATGATTCACTAAAACACAAAGTCAAGAATGGCGACTTGCTGTTGGTAAAGCCTACAAGCATGGCGTTCTGCTCTGGCGATATCTGCCACACGCCGAACGGAAGCTCAGCAAGGGTTCATCGGAATCTCTTCATCATCTAGTGAGGCAAACTTTAGAATCCCTTCCACTCGCCTCTTCTTCCAACATTGATCTGCTAAGCGATTCTTCGAAACTCAGTTTTTCTACAGACCATGTCCAGACTCCTCTCCCATTTTACTGATGACAATTTTCAGCGTTGGACTTGGTACATTTTCAGATGTCTTTTGTCCTCCTTTTTTGGTTCGGATGTTTTGAAATTTGAAATCTATGTGCATAATGAGTCCAGGAAACCCATTTTGACCCGAAGGTATTAATAGATAAGAAATTACTAAGGATACACTTTCATGATCAATTAAGTCAAGCCTTCCATTCTGTCTAATCACTTGAGATATTCTCCCAGAGTCTATACGCCATAGTGTAATGTATTTAGTAACTAAGTAAAGTGGGCATTAGTAATTGTTTATTACTTAGAATGATATCTGATCGGGATTTCTTGACATTATTATTGAGATTTTGCGTAAGAAGTGTTTTTCATGGCAAGGCAATAGAAAGTGATGCACCGATTCATCGGAACCAAATAAGACTTAGTAAATTATACACTACTCATTGATCAATACTTATAATTAGGTTAGAACGTGATCTTTTACCTAAACCTTGTATTTTCACATGCCAAATGGTAATAAGTGCAAAATATTTCTTGCTCATTACTGAATTCGCCAATCTTAAGATTAATTACATCCAGAAAACAAGATAAAGTTACGAAATCGGGGTCTGAGCACTTTTATTCAACCACAGGAGACTGCGACACAAGTAGAGGCCACATCATCGTGGTCGTCATACCGATAGTGTAAACCTTCTCCTTTCTAACTGGCTATTGGCAAAGTGTTACTAAGATTATGTTTTCTCGATATGTCTTCTTATACAAACTCTTCAAAAACTTGAAAGTGCAATGCTACATTCTGCTAGCAAATAAAAGCATGTCTTTACGAGTTGGCCAGTACAGTTCACATCAAGAACAGGACAACTTGTTTGAGAATTTCAGTGAGTATTTGCTAAATAAATGTTATTCATGACAAGATAACAGAAATCTGTATACAGATTGCTCGGTACCCGAGTTGACTTGTTTCGATCCTCTTTCACTCAAATTTTCATAGCAACTAAAAGGCACAAGAAGATTGAAGTAGAGAATCAGGAGTAATGAGATTATTAAATGTTTCAGCATAGTCTCCGTGACGACTAGCTCACTTTTCGCAGCAATACTTCACAGTTCGGATTCCAGATAAGTTATGGCCTCTCATCTGCTCCTCCAGGCGGTGATCTATTGTGCCCGTTGCTTCTTCTAGGAGATAATTAATCATGACAACTAGTAAAAGACGGATTGTTTTGAGTGAAGTCCATCTTCTTGGCAAAATATCCTCTACTTTTATATGAAGACCAAGATATTGTGGCCTCCTTTTTGGCCACTGTCTCCTTTAGAAGTGTAGAAGTGGTCTGAACTCGTTTGCGCAATTTGATCGTGTTGCCAGGGCAACCTAGTTTGATGTAAACTGTCCTAAGTCCTCTGGTATGGTAGTTACAACTACGTTGCCAGCGAAACGTTTGTGAATGTATCAAGTCGACGGTCAGGGCTTCGAACATGATGCGTCCAACTAGCTCGCCTTGACAACACGAACAAATTGCATAATCGAGGTCAGTCTATTTCTGTCCCTAGCTTAGTTTTCTAAAATAGCAACTTAGGGTGATTTAAGGATTTAAGGAATGTACCACGTCCACGGTCCTAATCTGGAAATGATAATGCATACAATGGACTCCGGACTAGGTATGTTCCTTTAAGTCTTCCTACCAATATGACCGAGTCGTGAAAACAAGGTCAAACAACTTCTTTTAAGGATTTATAGTTAAGTTTTTCCACCCTGATGCGAGACCGGATTTGTGTGAAATTACCATTTTGGGTGAGGTCTGACTTCTTTGAATAACACCCGTGGCCATGACATAGATCAGCGAAGCTACTTACGACCAGATATGCAATTCCGTTGGGAATGCTGATGATAGAATGGAGCGAGGTCGAAACTACACCCCAGTCAAGTCTGAATAAGATAGCCTTCTGGTTGGAAAGGCTAAAATGCAATGTTATCATAGGGTCAGCTCATCTGATTGTGGAAAAACTTAACTATAAATCCTTAAAAGAAGTTGTTTGACCTTGTTTTCACAACTCGGTTATATTTGTAGGAAGACTTAAAGGAACGCACCTAGTCCGGAGTCCATTGTATGCATTATCATTTCCAGAGTAGGACCGTGGACGTGGTACATTCATTAAATCATACTAAATTGCAAGCCTGGATAAAAATAGCCTTTTGGAAGGCAAATTTAAGCTAGTTCAATAGCATCGTGATACCTACTCATCTGATTATGGAAAAACTCAGCTATCCGGCCTTAAATCACCGTAACTGACCTGGACTGAATAAGCTCCTAGACTCACATCAAAATTAATTTCCTAACCAGATTGTCTTATTGTCTGTCATGGTTTTCCCGTCATCTCTGTGTACACGAAAGAATTTCCTTTAATAATTTTATTACATTAAAGCCTGACAATAAAGCGCAATCTGAGTAGATCTCGAGCTATGAAATTTTCTCGGATATAGTGATAATATTTATCTCGCTACTATGTTATGGTATTTTGTTTGCTCGACCGAGATGGTGGAGCCCTATTAGGCCAATGATAACACATAATACACAAATTATGCATTATCTTACCTAAATTGTAGAACCTTGCATTCGAGTTTATCCATAGCAGAAAGGCTAGGGGAAACTATTTCCTTCTTGAGAAGTAAAGTCAACATTTATTTTTCCTACCCTAAAATATGCACTAACAATGACACCAGAAATTAACCTGGCAACGAAGTTGATGATCGTCCAGGGCTCTCATCTTCACATAAAAATTTTCCCCCTGATTAATTTAACCATGCCTTCAAGCATCCAAAGAGTATGCATGGTCTTCCACATGGGCCTCCTTCACCACGAGAAGAAACACCTGATGACTCCATTCACCTCTCTGATAGTCGTTTTTGCTTTTACAGCATATATTTCTCCCACAAATTTATTCTGGAGATAAAGCCTAATCTTCTCTACGGAAACCCAAATATTTGGGATTGCGATTGAAGCCAGTGTAACTACTTATTGCAGTGCAGTATTCCTTGAAATAATTGTATGATAAATACTGATTAGGTCGGTTTTAATAGATCATGGTAGCTTTTAATCGGTTTTCATGGCGTTATTATGTATATAGCTATCTGAATTGCTGAAATGCACCGTCAAGCATTACTTTTAAAAACGCCTATGAATATATGCCGGGATTTTATTTATGAATCAAAAGGTATCCTAATGGAGGCAACTCATTTCCGAAAGCCCAGAAGGAGGTAGATAATGAAAAGCTCCTTGGAACAAATCCTCGGTGGGTACTTTCATAGGAACTCTAAGAAGGAAAGAACGCCTTAAAGGATTCCCCAAGAATATTTTTAATGGGTTCTAAGAATAGCAATTTTTAATTTTTTAGTGAAACTATTAGCATTAGCA